GACTGTGCAGCAGCTGGAGAGAGAGGGGAGGGGGAAAGTTGGACACGGACATTTCAGCAGTAACTTTTCTTCTTTCCTTCCGAGGTGGGAGAAGCCTCAAGGAAGAAAAGTCAAAGAGACAAAACCCCTGGATTACAATTTAATTGAATTTGCATCGCTCCGCAAGATTTCGAATCTAGTCACTGGATACGGATTTACGTCCGAATTAATGTGGTCGCAAATCTTTGGATTTACCAATATCTGAAGGTACGACTTTTGTGTACGTATTAGCGATGCTTGAAACGTTATAATTGTGATACAAGTTTTGCTAAAGAAGAAACTGTAGAACTGCAGTCTTAAAGTGACTGTAGTGAACTTAATGGTGAAACTTGTTGCAACAGGCTTGGCTGCGCTACTCAGCGTTTTGCATATATTATAGAAGCCACGCAGAAGATGAATAAATACTACAAGCTCAATGTAATTAACTATTTAGCACAATAGACATGGTTTTATCATTGACAACACTACAATGACTTTTACGGATAAAATGCCATAAATCTTGGTATGAAAAACAGTGGAGATCATTGAAGTTATCTGCTGCTTCTTAGTAGCCTTTATATATGATATATTGATGTATTTATTTATTGGATTTCGCAAGAAGTTTAAAACCACGACTAGCTGATCTGGCTGCTGGCAAAACCGATGCCGATTTTCGCTTCATATGCGCTTAATGCAACACGTTGTTTCTGTAAATCTCTTTGGCTTTCAACCAATCCCTGTGGCATGGAAAAGCCTCCAGGCAGAGTTGGTTTTGGATCTGCTACATGCATGCCATTCCGACAAAGTAATGACAGTGCTCACTCCGAGAAGTACTGACTGAGCCGATCTGAGATCAGTGGCCAAAATGTAATTTTTTTTTTTTTTTTTTTTTCAATAAAGCCACAACACCAGACAATGAAAGTACCGTGCTGAGGGCGAATATCACATTCACATCTGCTCTCTTCATTGCTCAGCCATCCCATGTTTGCTGGATTTTATATCCTGTCTGTGTGGTTTCCACAAAAGATCCTAAGGGGTTTTGAAAGTTTTTGTGAGCGCTCCTTTCAAAATGTGGAACAGGCCAATTTTGCATGCATTTAATTCACCAGAGAGCTACCTCTTAAGCTTAAAATTGATTTCTCTGATCAGAGGTTACCTTCTCACCTTAAGTAAACAAAATAGCTCTTTTCTTGAAGGGTTACTCCAGCAAAAGTGTGATATGAAATAGCTTTGAAACCCTTGCATGCTGTACTATCTCCAAGGACCCCCCCACCCCACCTGCAGGAAGAGTTTCTACTCCCTTTTCACATCCCAAGGAATATACCCTAGGGTGAATATACATTATAAATTGGTGTCCTTAACTACAAATTGTGTTACTCAGTTGACCTGCTGTAGGCTATAGCAGTATGTGTTTCACATGCTGTTTCCAATTCTGGCCTGTGCTGTAGATCTGCAGCCAATTGTATCATCCACTTGACTTTTTGCTTTGTCAGGTCAGCAGTGAAGTGGTAACTGAGCTATCAGATATGTAAACTCTAGCTTTTTTCCTGCTGAAGGCTGACTCAACCATGCGGAGTGTTGGCATGGGGCAAACTTGTTCCCCTCATCAGAGCAGGCCTCACTTTACATTGATACTTTATGTAAGTGGACCAAAAGTATTCATGGCAGTAGAACTTTTAAGGCAGCTCTGAGCAGACTCTTATCGAAGGTTTTTTGTATTCAACTGTGTTTTCCTGTTTTACGATATTGATCACTTCCAAGAATATAAGACCAGTAAAACTGTCTCTCCTGAGGTCTAGAGATTGACTAGTTTGTAAGTTTCTATACCCCCTATCAGTGGATATCTGGAGAGCCTCAGGGCATCTATAGTTACTTTTATTCACTCCAATTCCCTTGTTGTAACAGGCCTACAACATTCACTCAGGTTTGGCTTGAAGCACATATGAAGTTCCAGGAACCAAGAGTGTACATGTACGTTACTGCATTCATTATGATAAACTCAGAATTACAATTAGTAGAAGCTTTACTCAATAAGCATTTGATGTCAGCATGCATTTGATATCAGCATCTATTTGATGGTTTTGACCATGTGCAAAACTGACATTTACACATATTTTGTGTTTTTTGTTTATAAGAAAGTGTCCATATGCTAACACATAAAACGAAGATAAAGAACAGGGTAAACGTGTTTAACATCCATATGTTTTCATTGTAGCACAGCATGGTAGTGCAGTGGTTAGCACTGTTGCCTCATAGCATGAAGGTTCTGGATTTGAATTTTGTGGTGCCTTTCTTTGTGGAGTTTGCATGTTCTCCCTGTGCTTGCTTAGGTTTCCTCTGGGTACTCTGGCTTCCTCCCACAGTCCAAAGACATGCAGGTTAGATTAATTGGTGAATCTAAATTACCCATAGGTGTGAATGTGAGTGTTAGTGGGTGAGTGTCTCTGTGTCAGCCCTGTGATAGACTGGCGATCTGTCCAGGGTGTAACCTGCCTCTTGCCCAGTGTCAGCTGGGATTGGAGTGCCTGTACAGCCTCATAGAACTACTAGTGTGGCTGTTGACTCGTCACTTATTTTTTTCAGGGTTGCACGGCTATAACAGTCAAACATTTAATTTTTCTCACAATAAGAATCACACCTATTCACTACAACATATATGCATAATGAATATTCCTCTAGCTCTTTGTCTGTCTGTCTGAGAGACTTTGTGGTTAGTCCTTCTGATCACGTATCTGTATGTGCCCCTCTTGCATTCTATAGCACACATACAGTTCAGACAGGTAACATTTTAAACAAAAAACCTGACTAAATGAGTGGTTTCTTTCAGAATGACAATGCCCCCATTCATAGGGCAGGAGGGGTCATTGAATGGTTTGATGAGTATAAAAATGATGTGAGCCGTATGCTGTAGCCTTTGCTGTCATCACATCTCAACCCAAATGAGCACCTATGGAAGATTTTGGCTCTCTAGCACCACCACCACTAAGACACTTTGTTGTTTTTTTCCCTTTAATTTGTCACCCATCTGTAAAGTGCATTAATGTATCTTGTGAATGAGTACTTGCGTGCCTGCTTGTTTACTTTTTATGCACACCCTCTGTGGCATTCCAGTCAACTGTTACAGCACTTCCCCACACATCCTCTGTTGAGAAAGGACTTTTCTGGAGGGTTGATTTGGGGTCACAGCTCCACAGACAGATCAGGATGATGTTTTCACAGCCCAGCACCAAATCCACTCTTGGCTGTGTGTGTTTGTATGTGTGAGATTGCACAGGGTAGATTGGAAGCAGATACCCTGTGAGTGAGCTCTATCAGCCTGCAGTGTGCTAGGACAGACAGCTGGAAAGGCAGTGAACACGCAAATATTATGTGACATATTTATGGCAGCTTCTCCCATTTAAATAGATGCAAAGTAGTCTAAGCAGTGGACTACTGGTTCACTCTTTATTTAATCATCCATCTGGTAGCTAATAAGCAATTGTTTTGTCAGGCCATGGAGAGGACATGTTTGATTTTACTCTGTCAGAGTGTGTTCTTTTTCTAAATAGGCTTATCTTGTTTCTCTTCTGTCTGGAAGTGATGGCATTGATGATGAAACATCTGACAACAAAAATTGCTAAGCACTGAACACAAATAGCTTCCGCTGTTATGTGGGGCAGTGCCCATTTATTAGGGCCAGAAAAAGTACTAGAACTGATAGCTCTACTGGAATTAGAAAATAGGGGAAAGCTCTGGAACTAGAAGCATCACGACTTGTTGAACTACTGAGCAGATTTGTGAGCGCACATGTTAAAAACAGTTAGGGCTGTGTTGTGATTCTTATTGTTGGTCATCATTTCTGTCTGCCAGCACAACTTTAAGCTTTTAGTGCCTGAAGACTTTCAAATCTGTCATTGTTTTCCTACAGTGGTGGAAGAAGTAGAGATCCTTTATTTAAGTAAAGCTAGCAATACAACAGTTTAAAAATACTGTTACAAGTAAAAGTCCTGCATTTAAAATGTTACTTCAGTAAAAGTAAAGTATTAGCGTCAAAACATACTTAACTTTACTAAATGTAAAGGTGCTCATTATGTAGCATGGCACATTTCACATTTCTGTATCTGATAATATGCATTACTGTGTACATCGCATTTAATATCGCAGCTGGTAAAGGGGAGCTAGTTTTAACTATTTTATACTGTATGCATTTAATTTGAATGAATGCTAATTAGTTTGTGATTTTTTTTTCACCACATGTCAGTGAGGTCTTTTTATACTGTATTTTTGTATTAATCTGGTTCTGGAAAGTAACTAGTAACTAAAGTTATAAAGTCTAGTGCTTGCCTCTAAAATGTAGTTCAGTCAGAGTATGAAGTAACAGAAAATGAAAATACTCAAAGTACAGATACCTCAGAATTGTACTTAATTACAGTACTTCAGTGAATGTACTTGGTTACTTTCCACTACTACCATCCATTGGCTTTGTACTAAGTGACCTGATCACTTACAGGCCTGTTTATTGGATTCATGGTGCAATGGCCTAACCCCAGCCTGCCTTGCATTTATTTTCTCTGGTCAGCTGGGTGACCGTAAAGTTGCTGATGGAGAGCAGAGAGAACATGAGAATGAGAGACACCCATAGTAACACATATTACATAAACCTATTAAATTGTATTGGATCATGGCTAGATATTAATAGCAATGAGCTGTAGCTTTTCCTTCATCCTGTGTTCTCTGGACTGTGGTGCATTATGTACTGTGTGAACTTTCTTATTATTGTAATCATGTGGCATGAAGCCTATAATAATGGTTTCAGCTTTAGAGTGCTCCAACACAGCCGTCTAAGGCTTTGATTAACCTTACACCCTTCTAGCTGCAGGGGAAATGTTTTTCAAAAACAGCTGTTAAGAGCTGTTAAGTTTGCAGCTACTATTACATAAAAAGTGTCCCATGTTGTCAACACACAGATATGTTCTTACATAGTTTGTTTACAGTGTATGCAAAATATTGCAAAGGTCTCGATGTTTCCATAAAATAGTAACTGTCCTTTTTAAATGCAAGAAAACAGTGAACACAACTGCACTTAGTCAGCAACCCTCAAAACTGAAAGCATAATTCACAATGTGGGGCATGTCATGCTGTCCTTGTTACATCAGAGCATAATTTGAAACACTATCTTCCACCACGTTGTTTTTTAGCAACACACTGCAGCTAGTCAGGTCAGGCTAGATGGTATTCACATTGTGTCCTCGGCTAGGCAGGAGCGTCACATTGTGTACCCCCAAGGGAGCGCGGGTGTCATTTCTCCAGATGGGACAAGTGTTTGTACAGAGACACAGTCTGCCTGCTTGCCTGGCTTGAGGTCATTGTTGTACCTGTAAACACTGTAGAGTTATGGGGTCCTCACACATGCTGAGGGCAAGTTCAGGTCAGCTGGGCTGTGTTTATGTCCATGTGAGTAGGTGGGGTGTTTATGTGCATGCATTCTTGAGTGTATGAATAAAGGCTTGTATTAAGGGAGAAGGACAGTGGAGACTGAATGCAGCCTAATGATTATTTAGACGTGGCATGCATTGTAATCTGTTTGCTTGTTATTGGGCCACGTGGAAGCCTCTGGTGCAACTGTGGCTCCAGTGGAATCTTCTCCAGATGTGTTTCTCTGTTTGACTGTGGTCTGTCCAGGCTGCATTTCAGTCAGTTTACTTTCATGTGCGCTTTCCTGTTTTGCATATGCAGTAGCTATTGTTTGCAGCAGAATGTGTTCTTTCTTATTGACTTTGGGAATGGCTTTGTTTTCTAGATGTGTGTGGGAGTGCACATGCATGTGTGTGTCAAAGCTGTCAGTCAAAGGCCAACCAGATGGACAGGATAATGAGTATTATCAGACTCTATAAAGTTACACTTCTTAATGAGGGACATTCTGGTTAATTTGTATGCCACTAACAAAGCTTGCATCATACCACATAATTAACACATCAGCTGTGACCAACTCATAAATATACATCAACATCTATTTAGGAGTCAAGTGTAATGTGCAGCTGTCGGCAGAGTTAGCACACCGGGTGGCATGCTGGCAAAATGTAGGAAAGAATTGACTTTTTTGACTTTCTCTTTTTCTCTTTGTTCATCCATCAGCTGGTGAGTGAGTTGAGGTGAGGTGTTTAACGGAGGAGTGAAACTATGTGGCTTCTGTGCTCCTCTCTGACTCTGTTGGCCCTCAGCTTCAGATCATGTGACACAGTGACGTCAGAGCAAGGTGAGTTTCCTCTTCACTGCTGAGATTTTACTCAAGTAGTGGCTTTGCACAATAAAGGGATGATTTACTTTAACAAAAAGAATAATCTGACATTTTGGGAAATCCTTTTAGTTTCTTTCTTGCCAAGAGTTAGATAAGATAATTAATTGCACTTTCAGTTCTGTCAGTTTCATACCAACCTGTAGTCAGCATTGTTTAGCATTCAAGGACTGGAAACAGGGATAAACTTAGCTTTTCTTAATCCAGTGGTAACAAAATTTAGACTCCTATCTGTCCATGTTTTTGGAAGCTACAGCTAGCAGCTTGTTAGCTTAGCTTATCATAAAGACTAGAAATAACTTCAAGCTTGGCTTTGTCCACTGGTAACAAAAACCACATAGAGTTAGACGTTCCGATTGATAAGCAATTTCTTATTGCTCAGTGTGAAGCTACAGTACAGCCATCAGACACTTAGCTTAGTATAGAATTAATACTGGAAACTAAGTTGGTAATAAAGTAAATTTGTTATTTTCCTTATGTTTCTGGACTTTATGGAGCTCTTTTAAATGGTTATGTATTCAACATTAATGATGCCTACAGCAAACACTGTGAATAACAATGCAACTAAATGGTGACAACCATAAAAAAAAAAAAGACTTGCTGCTCTCAACCGCTTCTCAGCACACTCCTTATATCATCATATAAATACTAAGAGACAAGAAAGTCACAAAAATGCTTTCTGGAAATAAAGCAATACCTTTTGCTGCCGGAAATGACTTCCAGCGCCGACAGCGATGGCGACCGTGGTTACTCGCGCTTTCTTGTGTTTGTTGTTTTTCTTTGTTTTCTTGGTCTTGTGCAACTCATCCTGGATTACTTTTACCAGAGAAGAACTGTTAAATATCGGACAACTCACACCAAACTACCTTCCTCCGATTTTTGTGAACGAAGAAAGCTGTATGGACATTCTGATCGGAGGCGCAGCAGCAATATACGGGACCTGGAAAAAACGCCACTGCCGTGGAAAGCAGGCAGGTGCCTTGGTGCGGTTATGACAGAGGGGAACACGGACCCCACTCCCATCTATTCACCTGGCAAATCTCCGCTCCCTGGTCAACAAAATGGATGAAATTCTTCCTGTTAACAGGACTAACTTTGACTTTGCACACTCTGCTGCTTTGTGCTTCACGAAGACCTGGCTCACCGACTCCATCGCGGACAGCACGATTCAAGTACCAGGTGTCCAGGTGTTCAAAGCAGATTGTGTAAAGGAGCTGTCCGGGAAAAGAAGAGGAGGTGGAATCTGCTTCTACATAAATGAAGTTTGGTGCACAGATGTCACAGTGTTACAGAGGACATGTACCGCAGACCTAGAGACTCTTGTTATCAACTGCAAACCCTTTTACTCTCCCTGTGAATTCAACAGTTTCATGCTAATGGGACTGTACATAACACTGCAGGCTAACGCTAGCGCGCTACGGCTCCTAGCAGAACTGATAACTAACCTGGAGCTTGTTAGGTATTTTTAGTCAGATAGACATTGGTTAGGCACTTTATGTATTAGAAATGTTTAGTGGAAATAGGATGCTGTGAAATAGGTAGGCTGTTAAACGCTTAGTCATGCTCATGAGTTTTTACAGGGTGCATATGGTCAAGGATAACTAGATAGATGGTCATTGGTCTCATCTGAGACGATGACGAGTCAGCCTACAGACGGGAAGTTGAGCAGCTGGTCCTGTGATGTAGCCACAATAACCTGGAGCTGAACACACTCAAAACAGTGGAGATGACAGTGGACTTCAGGGAGGGCCCTCCCACCTTGCCCCCACTTACCATACTTGGCAGCTCTGTATTAGCAGTAAATTCCTACAAGTTCCTGGGCTCCACTATCTTCCAGGACCTGAAGTGGACGTCCAACATCAGGACCATCACCAAGAAGGCACAGCAGAGGATGTACTTCCTGCGCCAGCTCAGGAAGTTCAACCTGCCCCAGGAGCTGCTGATACAGTTCTACAGAGGAATCATCGAGTCCATTCTCTGCACCTCTATCATTTAACCCATGACAGTATGATTGGACAATAACCCTCAGTGCAATATCTGTAAATATACCTTGTACAGATTATAGAGATTCGTACAGGTCTCTAGTTCTTAAGTATTCTGTTTTATCCCTATTTATCTCATTTCAATGAGCATTCCTTTGCTGTCTGCATTGTTTACTGTCTGTTTATACTGCGTTTTCTGCATTGTTTGCACTGTTTGTTGACGTTAATACTGCTATTCTGTTTATATTACACAGCCTTATGCTGGTTTACTGTTTATTTGCCCCTTGCATGGGGATATGTACATGCACATTGAGAGCCGATGTACCAGAGTCAAATTCCTTGTGTGTCCATCACATCTGGCCAATAAAGCTGATTCTGATTCAATAGCTTTTCAATTTATAGGCTGTTATGACAGAGACGTTTTCAAATCTTTGAGCTGGAGTTGTATGCTTGATCAACCCATCACACTTTGAAACCCATTTGAGGTTGATGGAACTGTGTCTGTATGTGCCTGGCCTGACCAAATAAAATGAAAATGGAGTGTAATTACAGCTTATGTGAATTTGAAGCTGGTGACCATTGGTGGGTATGTGGTTAGGCTGTGGCAGAGATGTGTGTGTTTACCATGTGTGATTGTATTACTGGTCCTTCATATATGTAAGTTTCTGTGTATATAAGAAATCTAGGTTTTGAATACCTGTATGTGTATATGAGAGATCCTGAGTATGTTGAAATGCTTGTTTGTCTGTTGATGTGTTGCTGTTTGTATCCAGTTGTGTATGTGTGTGAGACAAAAAACAGACAACCAAGAAATCAAGAGGCAGAAAGGTAAAGAGAAATCTCTTTTGTTGTCTTGTTTTATTTATTTATTTTCCAAATTGTCATACTCCCTCATCACACTATCGGTGTGTTCCCAGGGGCTGGTTCTGTGATATCACCTGGGGGGTGAAGCAGTCCTCCATAGCTCACGGAGCTGTGAAGGGAGCTTTGTGAAAGGTGGGTGTCCCTCTTGGGAGACCGTAGTCAGATAGTCAGAGCTTTTCAGATGAGACCTATTCAGCTTGCAGCTCCCCTGAGCTCTCTCCCCCAGTGGTTGGAATAAAGTGCTTTCTCAAGTGCAGATATAACACTTTGTCAGCAAGTACTACATACTCACGCACACACTCACACTCTGACATATACACACTAGCACTATTCCTCTGACTCATCTAAAGCTCTGCTTATTGGTATTTGGCCAACAGTACAGTGGGTCTAGGTAAAACTAGTGTTGAAGAGTCCAGCTTGGATTATTGCTCTGCAGTTCTGCAGTTCATTAGTCTCAGAGACTAGTCCCCCTAGTTAAGCTGCTGAAATTTCATAACCTTTAGTGAAGTGTTGCTGATATAAGGTTGTTTTTTTTTTCTCTTGCTCCACAGAGCCAAAGCAGTCTGAAGTTAGGGAACTATGTATGTAATTGTAGTATTAATAAGCTCATTTGCACAGCAACAGATGTTTGAGAAGCAGAAATTGATATACAGTGACTGATTAGGAGAATCAGTTATTTTATTGGTTATGATGTAGCTGGCAATATTATTTGCTTTTATGCTGATAATGGCTCTTTTTACACACTGTAGTCATGTACATTTACTAATAATATATTATACTACTTCATATACAATTTATTGTATTATATATAAAATAAGCCAGTGACTTCTGTGCCGGTCCCACGCCCAGATAAATAGAGAGGGTTGCGTCAGGAAGGGCATCCGGCGTAAAAACATGCCAAATTTAAACATGCGACTCATCAGTGTGGACTCCACACCGGATCGGTTGAGGCCCAGGTTAACAACGACCACCACCAGTGCTGTTGACCTACAGGGTGCTGGCGGAAATTGGACTACTGTTGGTCGAAGAAGAAGAGGAGGCAGAAGGATTCGTAGACAGAGAGAGAAGAGGAAAGGCAGGAGTATAGGTCTGAGAATAGGGACTCACAATGACAGGGAAAGGTAGAGATCTGGCGGACATGATGGAGAGAAGGAAGGTAGATATACTGTGTGTGCAGGAGACCAAGTGGAAGGGTAGCAAAGCGCGGAGTATTGGAGGGGGATGCAAACTGTTTTATTTAAACATGCTGAGTATTTCTTGTTACATTGCATGTGCTCTGTCTCTCCAGATTGGCATGGTGGCATGGCGGATGACCCTGCGTACTCCAGAATATCCAGCGGGACGTGAGATTATCGTCATAAGTAACGACATCACACATAAGATTGGCTCATTCGGGCCCCAGGAGGACGTGTTGTTCCTGCGAGCCTCAGAGATGGCACGAGAGAGCGGCATCCCTCGAATCTACATCGCAGCCAACAGTGGCGCACGCATTGGGCTGGCAGAGGAGATCAGACACATGTTCCAAGTGGCCTGGCAAGATCCAGCTGACCCCTATAAGGTCAGCCGGCAGTCTCTTCCTTCCATCTTGTCCTTTGAAATTTTATAACTTTTTAAAGTTTTGTTACCTGAAATTCACAAGCTCAATATTTCAAAAACCCAACCTAAATATATTTTTGTGAGTAAATTCCTAAAGCAAATAAATGTCAAATGTATTTTCTTTATAATGGTTGTCATTAATTTCAGACATACAAGGTGTAGTTTATTTGGTGTGTATGGCTGTTAAATTATTTCTTTATTTAAGAGCTTATGTTCAATTTCTGAAACTTCCATGCACTACCTGTATCTTCTTTTTTTGCCTTTCAAAATGATATTGAGGTTTTGTCTTTTGCATCTGTCCCCCTGCAGGGTTTCAAGTATCTCTACCTCACACCTCAGGATTACAAGAAGGTTTCGGCTCTGAATTCTGTGCATTGTGAACATGTGGAGGATGAAGGAGAATCCAGGTACACTTTTTTAATCTCATATTGATACACTTTTAAATGAGTGGAAATTAACCTACAAGCTGCTGCAGTAGCTGTGTAGTGTAAATGGGACAATGGCTAAACAGAAAGCATA